TCTCCCTCTCTCACGTGTCCTCACCACTTCATTTCTAGGATGGGAGCATGTGGCAGGGGTTAGTTTTCAGCGGCAGCAGCCTCAAAAGTGGCACAGACCCAGTGTTGACATGTCCTATATATTTTAAATGGGCTGATACAAAGGCCATGTAGTGTTCCCTGAACCTGATCATGTGAGGCCCTATTCGAGTTATAATTGCTCCCTGAGGGTCACGTGGCCCCTTACTCATGTTGGTGAATACTATTCTACAAATAGTCGCTTTCCCTAAATAAATAGGGCTGGAAGGGATTGACAGCATGCCAAGAAGATCATACCTCATTGCTAAAGGCTTTCCACTAATTGAGGAGTATCGCTCCCTGGTTCCTAAGGGAGTTTATCAGCCAAAAGGATGAATCCTTGAAAGTCAAGGAAAGAAAAGGAAAGGATTAAGTGTCAGACCTAGCTAGAAACTAGAAGATTTCCAAACATCTCACAAAGGAGGATAAAGAGTCTCCTGAAAACAAAACTCACCCGTATACATTAGCTCTTCTGAATGTGCCTAAGGGAAGTTCACAATGTAATACCCAAGAATGTCTAAGAAGAAAGAAGAAAATCTGATCACGCAGGTGACTTGAAATAGATAAATTAATAACTGGAATAAATAAAAAATAGAATAAATAAGGAGAATGAAACAAGTCAGATGAATTCTGATTTTCAATTTTCCAGTCACTGGGAATCCACCAGAGCTGAGGAAAGGGAAGTTTATAGTCTTACAGCTGTCAATACTGTCCACTGAGGTTTTGATCTGTTTGTAACAATGTCTGCTCCCTTCCTTGAAGAGGAGAGGTGAAAAAGTGAAAATACAGTTCTTATCTAGGCATCAGAAAGTGAGCTAAGAAAACTACTAAATAGAAGCAGTGTGTCTTTCCTGTGATAAACTACTTGCTTTTCTTGCAGAGTGTCCCTATCACAGACCCCTTGGATTTGAGTCAGGAGCTGTTACTTCAGACCAGATAAGCTGCTCTAATCCAGAGCAGTACACCGGATGGTATTCTTCTTGGGTTGCCAACAAGGCCCGACTCAATGGCCAAGGCTTTGGGTAAGTCTGGGAATTGTTTCTCATGACACCCCTGAAGTTTGACTGGGGTGTAAAACATTAGACAGAGCAAGATGAGGAGTTTTGGGAGGGTTCTTAAGTATTAATATTATAGAACATACAAGGAGAACTGAAGAAAATAAAGAGGGACAAACTGTCTTTGATGTGTTCAACACATTTGCTTTAGTGGAAATACCTTGAGGGGTGGGCAGGAGTGAGAAGGGCTTATTTATTCACAGGTGTCATGGGCTTACACTGGTGGCCACACAGCCATAGCTTTAAGGGCTGCAAGTGGTTTCCAGAATGCTTTTTTTCCCATTTCCCTTAGCCAGAAGGGTGCTATGGGATCACCCCTCTCAGGCCCTAGCATCACCCCTCTGGGCATTCTCCATGCACCCCTTGGAGGCACTATAAAATTGTCCCTCTTGGGCAATATGAAATCACCCCTCTGGGCGTTCTGGGATTGCTGTGCCTCCTTAGGTGCTCTGGGAACTCCAAGCCACCCCTCACAGGCCCCCAAACCACTGGGGCTGCTCTCAGCATACTTCTATACACATCTGCAAGTGGGAAGAAAAGCAATATGTGGAGAAGAATGTTTGGGAAATTCTGCTTGTCTGATAAAGTTAAAAAACTGTGATAAAAGCCCCATCCTCATTCCCATCTGCTGTTTGAATAAGAGGTAAAACTCTCAGGGCCAATCTCTGGTATTATTAGGAGTTCTGCCATTGTCTGTCAGAACAAGATTCAAGATTTTTCAAACAGGCTGACTGATCGGCTCCTCAGGTTTGGCTGCCCAGCTTTTGATAGACATTAGTGGGGCCTGATCTTCAGAATGTGCTGAACACCCCCTTTATGATGTCTTAGGCTGGGCATTCAGAAAAGGATGCATCCTAGATCACTAGTCAGTTTTGGCTTTGGTCCTTGGTAAGTCAGTTGCTTTGCATTCTTTACTCCCCTCTCTGTGTCCACTGTAGTCACATCTGTAATGCTTTTTTTTGGGTTTCATGGTTCCTATAGGTGTGCCTGGCTCTCCAAATTTCAAGACAATAGCCAGTGGCTGCAGATTGACCTGAAGGAAATCAAAGTTATTTCAGGGATACTCACACAAGGACGCTGTGATGCAGATGAATGGATGACAAAATACAGTGTGCAGTACAGGACTAATGAGAATCTGAATTGGGTTTACTACAAGGACCAGACTGGAAATAATCGGGTCAGTGAGAGTAGATTTTTGGTGCAGTTAATTTTCAGAGAAATTAAAATCTTTGCTCAAAAAGGGTAACATTCTCAGCAGAACACCAGCATAAGATCTGTGTACCACTCCCTCAAACTGGGGCCTAAGGGACATGCCAGGCTTGTGCTGTCTCTTAGTATCAGGATGAATTTCATACAGGATGAATTGTTCTCTTTAAAGAGATGCCAATTCTTGTGCAAAGTAGGCAGCTGTGTAGAAAGAAATGTAGGAAAGATTCTTGCCCTAGACCTCTGCCCAGAGAAGACAGAAAGTTTGTCAGGCAGTTGTTTATACAGTGCCATCACCCCAAGAACTAGTTCAGTAGTTTTTAACAGAAATCCTGGACATCATGAGGTGCACAATGAAGTCACGAATTTGGAAACTGCAAATCTGGAGATTCAGGGTCTGTTTCTCACCTTCATGTGAAGGAGTAACACTAAGGTAACTCTAAAAACTTAACCCAGACCTAAGAATGTTTTAAAGGTGCCAGGTGCCTGTTGAGATGTGCTTGTGGTGTAAATAACTTACTAGACCCTTTGTAGGGGAGGACTGACATAGGAAAGCTCTATTCCACTATGCCCAGACATGCTTTTCCCTGCTCCCTGCTGCCACGCCCTCCCAGTGCCTTCCCCATCATGGCATGAGCAGGTGGACTGTTCAAGATCTAAATATACATGGTGAGGGAGCTTTCTCCCAGGATAGAAATTCTCTGCTGGCCATTCACAGCCATTTCTAGCTCTTTGGTACCGCTTTGGAGAATGCATTAATTAAAACTCCAGTTCCTACTACTTGCAGGTTAAAGAGAGCCTGGGAGTCTGCTGACCAAAGTTATCAGCACTACTCATTTTGCTACTTATCAATTTCTACCTAGCAAAGTCTCACTGCAACTATGAAAATACTATGTAAATAAAGGGAAGGGAGCACTGAGGAAGCTGCCAGATAAACAGAGGAAACAGAGGTAGGCATTCTCAAGGGACCCCTTTAGAAACTCTGAATTCAATTTCAGCAAAAGGGAAAATCACACAGTGGGCACATCTACACAAGATGCTCAACTGTGGAGTAGCATAGTTTAATACGCAGTAAGCGTGAGTGTTTACAAGTGCACATGCTTACTGTGCAGTAAACCTCACTAACCAAGAGTATATGTGCTACCTGCAAATACAAATAGCAAATTTACTTTTGATTAGTAATGGTGCAGTAGTGCTTGTGGAGAAGCCTGACTGTGAGTAAATCTGCTCCTGTTCAGCTATCCACCAGGGGGCAGATTGCTCCAGCCCCTGGGAGCTGCCTGCTGCTGGGGATGGGGATGGGAACTATGTTCCCCTGCTCTGGTAGGAGGGAGCTCCAAGCTCCCTGCTCCCAGATCACGGTAGGGGAGCGGGGGGGGGCTCGGATATCCTTATAGGGTTGCGGAGCTGGTGCTGGGAGATAAGGGTGTCCCAGCACTGGCCCCATGTCACAGGAGCTGGTGCTGGGAGCCTGTTTCCCACTCAGCTCTACGCTCACAAAGCTGAGTGGGAAACAAACGCCCCAGCTGGCTGGGAACTGTCCTGGTCAGAGGCAGGTCCCAGCCCCATGCCCTGATCAGAGGCACCAGGCTTGAAAAGAGCTGCAGGAGTGGGTTAGGGCCCATCCCCCTGCCATGATCTGTTGGTGGGGCAGCTAGCAGCAAGCTAGGTGCTAGTTGTTCTACCGTTGGATTGAGGCAGGAGGTTGGGACTTGCACCTCCCCTGCAGCTCTTCTCAAGACACCTGCCCCTGATTGGGGAGTCAGGGCCACTTTTTCCCACAGGAACATTTTCCCCACTTGGGGAGTAGGCAGCCCCTGGAGCTAGAGCAGGGGCGGGCAATTATTTCAGGTGGAGGGCTGCTTACTGAATTTTGGCAAGCCATTGAGGGCCACATGACAGGCAGCCAGGGGCAGATAAATATACATTTTCTAAATTTTTTAGGGTCCCCGCAGGCCGGATAGAATGGCCTGGCAGGCTGCATCTGGCCCGCGGGCTGCATTTTGCCCACCCTTAGAATGTAATATCTCAGCCCTGGCTAAGAGACAGCTGTCTCTTGTCCTGGTGCTCCCTGCCAGCCCCTGGGCTAGCACTCTGGTGGTGGCAGGGGCCCATTGCAGGTTTTCAGGAAGTGGGAGCAGCTTGCTGCCATTGGCAGCAAATCTACTCCCACTTCCCTGAACGCGTAGACACCTGCCTGGGACCATTTACTCGTGAGTAATTTACTTGTGATTAAACTGGTCCCGCATCAAAGGCATGTGTAGATACACCCAATGATGATCTAAAACTTCCCGCTGGTAGGAGTATAATAGCAGTATTCCCCAATTTAAATACAGGGAATGCTCTTCAACCTTGTAGCCTCTTTCACACTGGAGGAAATTTCTGAAGTATGACTAGTATTTTTTAGGAGTTCTTTGGCTGCTTTCTGCTCTTGAGATGGCCATATATCATTAGAAACACTTTGTCAGCATAGGATAAAGTAATGCCTTTTGATGAAACCTGGTGGATTAAAATGATTGGCATATCATGCATTATGTAGAAGCTAAGATTTCAGCCTGGAAAAGGGTGACTTATGTACTGTTTCAATTCCACATTTTTAAAGTAGATGACATGTAAGTAGCTTTACCTCAATGAGTAATGCTACACACCAGGCAGTGTGCAAATGGGACAGGGCTGTTTCTAATGACACATTGTCATGGTCATGGCCTGGCACATACATCCCACTAAGTATTTGTATTAGCTTGCAAACTGGTGAACATAAAGGTAGTGTTTCACAAAATTTGTGGGAAGAGGAGATCAAGTTCTTTAACCAAATCTGCCATTTTGGTTTTGTTTAGGTTTTCTATGGGAACTCAGATAGATTGTCCTCTGTCCAGAACTTCCTGCGCCCTCCCATTGTCTCGCGCTACATTCGACTCATACCGCTGGGCTGGCATGTGCGTATCGCCATCCGGATGGAGCTGCTTGAGTGCATGAGTAAATGTGCATGATGCCAAACCACAAACCATGCAGGGTTATCAAGGGTGGACGAGGAGGTGAAGAGATTCCTTAGCAACATATAGAAAAGCATCCCACAAGATAGTGAGGATAGAAAAAATGGGCTAGATTCTGGCCCAAGATGCAGCTCTCCTGAATCTAATGGGTTTGTAGAAAGGCAGGGATATGGGCAGTCTCTACCCCTAGTTAGTTTTATTGAAACTGATTTCAGGAGTTGAGCTGTGTGAAATTCTTAGTTAGTGTTGCCTGAAATTTTCCTGGGGAAAATATCATATTGTAGCCATAGTCATCCAGGAAATATATGAGAAGAAAGGATTTTTGTGAGTGATATCTGTTATTGGAACAACAGCATGGTTGGGGTAGACTTAGACAAGCTATCAAGACTTAGACAAACTTCTTACTATCCAGAGAAAGAATGCATGGCTTTCAAAGTTTATATAAGTCCATCCCAATGATACAGTTGGTCAAAAAGAAATATATCACCCACAAAAATCCTTGCCTTCTGAGTGGAGAAAACAGAATTTTGTGAGATTCATATAATCATAGGGAAGTAGGTTTGGAAGGGACCTCCAGAGGTCATCTAGTCCAGCCTCCTGCCTGAGAAGGATCATCTATATCCAAACCATCCTATACAAATCCATTATCTATAATCTCAAATCTTCACAAAACTACCATCAGAACACTATCCTGCCAAAACACATCACATAAAATATGAACCTGCCACAGGAAAGGAGGAGAGCCATGACAGCCAAGGTCCTGCTCCTATAAAAGGTTGTTAATATATGTTCAAGAGATCCCAGGTAGAGGGCCATGCCTCCCCCTGATTACCCCCTACTCCCAACTACAGATGAAGGCAAAAATCCCCGCAGTCCATACCAATCTGCTTTTGCCAAGCAGAAAACATATTGAATTTGCCATCCCATTCTGGAGGCCAGGAAAAATAGTTATATATAAAATTTATATACAGTGTATATATATAAACTATTTTTCCTGGCCTCCAGAATGGGATGGCAAATTCAATATGTTTTCTGCTTGGCAAAAACAGATTAGTAAGGACTGTGGGGATTATATATGTGTGTATATATATATATATGTGTGTGTGTTAACTCTTTCCTATAA